CACTGATGCGGATAATGCCGGTGATGCGGGGATCCATGGCGGACATTGAGGCGGATAATGCCGGTGATGCGGGGGATGCTGGGGATGTTGTCCCCTAAGTCGGTATATGGATTCAAGGACGCGTTGTTGCGAAAATCATGAAACACGTATATTCATGCTTTTAGTGGCGTTTCTGGAAGGTGCTTCGAGCCCATCCTTTTTATCTCCCAGCGCCCGGCTGTCAGGCGTAAGCCCTTAAATCCGGCCGCGGCCTGCGAAGCGGGCCGAACGGCTGTGTCAGATTACCACCTTGATCGTGGAGCAAGGCTCTAGAGCGAAGCTCTATGGGGCTGCCGCAACGCGCCGCCGACCCTGCGCATGCCGAGGATGTGTGAAAAGGAAAGTGATGAGCATCACCTGCATCATCTGCTTCTGGCGGTTGTGTTTCGGGCTTGTTTTTGGGTCCGGTTCTGGGTCTGCAGCCTGGGCTTGCAAGTCTGCGGTCTTGCCCCGGTGATGCGGGTGATGCTGGGGATGTTGCTGGGAGCTGCCTTCCACACGGCGTCCTGCTGCAGCCTTGAAACACTGGAAAAACACGCGCAAATGCAAGGCTTTTACTGCAAAACCGAGGAACAAGTTTGGTTTTGACATGGCAGTTGATCAATACTCCTGTTTCCGGAAGACGCCATCTTCGCGAGAAAAAAATTATTTCGCGAAGCTTTCGCGACTCCATCGCCACGCCCTTTTGTTTGCAGCGTGCGCTCTGGAGCCATTGCGGCTGCTGCAGTTATGCTTGCAAAAACGGTAGCTGCAGTTCACTTGCGTGCAGTACGTAGGTTAAGTGCAAGCAGTCACCGTCATTCGCCCTTGCCCCTGGCGCTTGCCGGCGATGCGCGGAACCTTGCAACAAGCTCCCTGGCCTTTCGCCGGTCTTTCGCGGATCTTTCGCGAAACTTGCTCCAAAATAGCCCAGCCAACGTCATTTTTTGCACCATTCCGAACACAGGCAGGGAATCAATAATGCAAGTGTAGGTGCTGCGCATCTCCCTGTCTAAAAGGGGGCGGGGTCTGCAAATATGTAAGTGCGCAGGCATGCTTCTACTAATCCAACGCAGAATCTTTCGCGAAACATAAGTCTCTTTCGCGAACTCCATCGCCGATCTTTCGCGGAGGGGTTTGAGCCAAGAAGAATGGTCACCGGACGCATAACTCCTTGCAAGGACCTTTTTGTTCAACCCCAACATGCGTTTTTTGCGTGGCAACTGGCCCAGGCGTGCTTGCGTGCGCACGCACGCACGCACGCACGCACGCACGCACGCAACGCACGCACGCACGCACGCACGCACGCACGCACGCACGCACGCACGCACGCACGCACGCACCCGCACGCACCCGCACGCACCCGCACGCACCCGCACGCACGCACGCACGCACACGCGCTAGCACTCACGCACGAACCCCCACCCACCCACCCACCCACCCACCCACCCACCCACCCACCCACCCACCCACC